TCTTTCTTTCTTTCTTTCTTTCTTTCTTTCTTTCTTTTTGTCTCTCTCCCTCCCTCCCTCCCTCCCTCCCTCCTTCCCTTCCTTCCTTCCTTCCTTCCTTCCTTCCTTCCTTCCTTCCTTCCTTCTTTTTTCTGTGTGCATGGGAGGGCACTGAGGATTAAGCCCAGGGAGCACTGAGGTATATCCCCACCCATTTTTATTTATTTTTATATGTATTTGGTATAGGGTCTCACTATGCAGATCGGACTTGTAGTGATTCTCCTATTTTTAGCCTCCCCAGAGCTGGGATTACAGGAGTGTGCCTCTACACCCAGACTTGGTTGCTGGCTCAGTGTGCCCAAGGGCAGGGCCAGTGCGGCCATGCAGTACAAGGGATCGAACCCCAGTCCCTGAGCTTGCCTAAGCAGGCGCTTAGTCCACTGAGCTATCTTGCTGGCCTCCCATTTTTATTTTTAATTTTACCTTTTTTTTTTTTTTTTTAATTTTAGGAATGGGACTCGGAGTGATCCACTCATTTACAGCCTCCCAAGAGCTGGGATCACAGGCGTGTGCCACTGTGCCCAGTCTCAATTGCTGTCTCAGTGCGCCCTGGGGGTGGGCCCAGCACAGCAGGCTCTGGGATCAAACCTCCAGCTCCTGCACCTGCTTGCAGGCGCTTTAATCCGCTGAACTATTTGGCCGGCCCTTTAATTTTATTTTGAGACAGGGTCTTACAAAATTGCCCAGGCTGGGCACAATCCTTCTGCCTCAGCCTACTAGAATTGAGATTATAGGTGTGTATCACTGCACCCGGCTCCATGTAGTGGCTTAATTTATACTTTTAACTGGAGGCAGATTAATGAGAAGGGTGTGGCAATAATCCAGGTAGGAAATAGTCTAACCTAGGTGAAAGAAGAAAAATTGTCAGAATTTGGTGACCAGTGAGATGGGACAAGGAAGGAGTGAGTAGTCCAGCACGCTCCTAGGCCTCTGACAGAATAGTGGAGGCCTCTTGCTTAGAACCCAGCAGCAGAAGGGCGGGTTTGGATTTGTAGAACTTGAAGAGCCTATGGGTGGTTGCAGGGTTGGACAACAGTTAAATCTGGGTTAGAGACAGATCTGAGTCACCAACATATGGCTCCCGAGGCTACAGTAGAGAATGAAGTCATCTGGGGACAAGTTTGTCGAATGAGGAGACAGCCTGCCTGAAAGGGCTGAGGAAAAACCTGATGTAGGAGACTGAGAGTGAATGGTCAGAAAGGAGGAAAACAGTGAAGGCCAGAGTTCCTGGGGTCAGAAGGGGACTGACCCCCAGATAGGCTGCCACAACTTCAGGCCACACTGCCTTGCCCTGCTTGACTTATTCTTTGGCTTCCCCTTCACAGGCCAGATGTTTGCCATCCAGCCAGGGCTGCCTGAGGGAGGCCAGTTTTCCGGGGACATGCCTCCTGGAGTGTGTGAGCCTGAACTTGAACCAGATAACAACTCCAACTTCATGAAGGATGCCAATGAGAACTGGCCTGGGGTGCCAGGCAGAATGGAACCCACGCTGTTAAGGAGCTCCTCCGAGTCATTGTCTGACAACCAGACCTTCCAGGCCTCAGGACTCCCTGAGGGAGTGGTCCGCAGCCCCCCAGAGGGTGCAGAGATTCCTGGTAATGAGCCTGAGAAGAATGATGATGCTGTCACTGTCTGCTCCCCTTTAGAGGACAATGGCTATGCCAGTAGCTCCCTGAGCATTGACAGCACTAGCAGCAGTCCTGAGCCTGCCTGTGGGACCCCTCGAGGTCCTGGCCCTCCAGATCCTCTTCTGCCCTCAGTGGCCCAGGCTATGCTACAGCTGCAGGCTCAGGAGCGCTACAAAGAGCAGGAGAAGGAGAAGCATCACGTGCACTTGGTGATGTACCGTCGTCTGGCACTGCTGCAGTGGATCAGGGGCCTGCAGCACCAGTTGGTTGACCAGCAGGCCCGTCTGCAGGATAGCTTTGACACCATCCTAGATAACCGGAAGGAGCTCATTCGCTGTCTCCAGCAGAGGGCAGTACCATCCAGGCCCCAAGACCAGCACTGAGTGTGCTTCCTCCAGCCAGCAAGCGACCCTGTACACATGTTTCTGCAGATGTGTGTGACCAAGCAAAAGTATGTACATAACTGGGTGTGGTGGCACACACCTGGGATCCTGGCACTCAGAAGGCTGATGCAGGAGGATCACTACGAGTTCAAGACCAGCCTGGGCTAAAAAGTGAGCTCAAGGCCAGCTGAGCTGCATAGTGAAACCCTGTATCAAAAAGACAAAAAAAAAAAAAAAAAGTATATACATGATTTTGTTGGCAGAAGTGTAGATAAGCTTGAGTGCATAACATGTAAGCAGGTATGTGCAGGCACACGTGCATGAGATTACATACCCTGTGTACACACGTATATGTGCAAGCTAATTTATATATATGAGTGTATAACAGTAAATGTGTGTATGTAGTATGTAAGCTTCAGTAAATCTGTGCATGCGCATATGCATAGCTACCCAGGAGTGTGTTTATATGTGTATGAGTGAGGATGTATATGAAAAAGATGTGTGAAAAAAAAAAAGATGTGTGCATGTGGGTACATGTGAGTGTGCAGGCTTGTGTTGGGTGTGAGTGAACCTGGTGTGGTCAGGCCTATGTGTAGGGATGCAGGCATGGGTAGCGTATGAAGGGAGTATATATATTTATAGACAGACTCAAATGCACTGAGGACACGTCTACCACACCTGTCATTCATGGTCTACCCCAGCTCCTACCTTTTCCTTGTTTATCCCAGACCTTGCTGTGCTAAGGCTGTTGTCTATCTCTCATGTCAGCTTTGGTAGAAGAGATTCCCTGGCTGTTCTGGCTTGCCGTGCTCTTGAGTTGCAATTTTTATCAGGGCAGTAAGTGGAAAATTGGTACCAGTGAGGGAACGGGCTGGTAAAGCAGAGATCATGGCAGAATGGGTGTGGAGACTGAGGTAGAGTTGAGACCCTTCTTTTGAACTTCCATCACATGGGAGGTGAGGATGGTGAAGATAAAGATGGCAGAACCCTGTGACTAGGAGGGTGGAATTTCCAAAATACCAGTTCCTAAGGGGCTGGGGAGATAGCTCAGTTGAATAAATGCTTGCCTGGCAAGTGTGCAAGGGCCTGAGTTCAACCCCTGGCTCCTGAAAAAAAAAACAGTTCCCAAATAAACCATACCTCTCAGCTGGGAAAAGTTATTGAAGACCGTATTAACTTAAGCTCCAGATGAAAAAAATCTTGCTTTGCTCCCTGCTGCTTACCCTGCCCTGCCTCTGGCCTTAACAAGACTGGATGTCCAGTTGGTTTGGTCCAGTTGGCTTAGTCCATTTTCTACAATCAAACCATTAGGAAGAGCCACTTGGCAAGTGCAGGGTCCTGAGTTCAACTCCTGGTACCACAAAAAAAAGCGCCAGAGCTCAGTTTTCCTGGGTAGACCGAAGGCAGTGCGGCCCAGCCTCTAGAAGCTCTTAGGCTGCTCTTCTGTCATTGCATGGCCCTTTAAACAGGAACTGATGAGATTGACCAGCGCTCCCTGAGTTTAAGAGCAAATGAGGGCTGATGAGATGGCTTAGTGGTCTAAAGCACCTACTTAGAACAAGCTTAGCAAAGCACATGGACTGCGGTTCAATCCCCCAGCACCACATGCCAGCCAGACCCGCCCCCTGGTGGGCTGAGCTGGACACACACACACACATACACACAAATAAATAAATAAATAAATTTTAAAAAAAAGCAAATGAGTCCTGAGGAGAAACAAGAGTAAGGTAGCAGAGCTCTCTGCTTTGCTTCTAGGAGCCAAGAGAATGCAGAGTACTAGAGGGTGAGCAGTGGCTGGAAGAGGGGATGCTGTCAGGCGAATGGTGGCATGGGAGACACTGATGTAGTCTCCTCGTCTTCTCTATTTTTTTTTTAATTAAAATTTTATTTATTTATTTATTTGTGTGTGTGTGTGGCCAGCTCAGCCCACCAAGGGGCGGGGCTGGCTGGCATGTGGTGCTGGGGGATTGAATCGCGGTCCCTGTGCTTTGCTAAGCTTGTTCTAAGTAGGTGCTTTAGACCACTGAGCCATCTTACCAGCCCTCATCTTCTCTATTTCTAAGGAGTTTAATCCATGTTGAATGACTGGGTGAGAGGTAGAGGGAATGGAGGAAGCTTGGGCCTTGGGGCCTGCTGTGTACAACTCTTGCATGATAAATGTGAACCTGGCCTCTGGACCAACTTGGGATGAATAAACTGAGGCAGAAAATTAAATTTCTTGAATATGTGTTTCTGTTTCACCAGTTTTCCTGTGGCCTCTTTTTAAAAAAAATATTTTATTTATTTATGTGTGTGGCCAGGGGGTGGGGCTGGCTGGCATGTGGTGCTGGGGGATTGAACTGCGGTCCCTGTGCCCTGCTAAGCTTAGTAGGTGCTCTAGACCACTGAGCCATCTCACCAGCCCCTGGTCTCTTGCATTTTGTTTGAGTTTCCTTTCTGAGCAGAGTCCAGGGCTGAGGACCAAGCAGTGAAACTGGGAAAGCACTGAGGAAGAAAAATTCATACTCTTACACCTGGCAATGTGAGGGGCCTCCCCTGTCAGAAAGGGGAGATTTGCTCTCTTCCCTGAGAGCTCCCTTTGGGAAGGATTGTTTCGGTGGGTTTTTTGGGGGGGCGGGGGAGGGGCTCAGGCTGCCTTAAGGGCGGGTCTGGTAAGGCTTGTGGAGCTGGGGATCGAACTGTGGTCCCCTGCACCTGACTGGGTTTGCCCAAGCAGGAACTTAAACAACTGAGCTAACCTACAAGCACCCTGAGAGCTCCCTTTGGGATTGTCCTTGTCTTAAATTACCTTTGGACCTGAATGGATTGCGAGGGACACAGACTATGCACATATCCACTAACTAGACACTGCTCTGGAGCCAGCAGTGCCCTGAGCCATATCCTGACTGCCAAAGATTGGGTGCGGCTCCTTCAATGGTGCTGACATAGATGTAGTTTTATTTGAAGTTCTGGAATCGAACCCAGGGCATTGTACATGCTAGGCAGATGGTGCGCTTTGAGGTACACCCTTAGTCCCCAAATGTAGCTGTAATACATGTACATGATTTCAGATATTTGTTGATGCCAATTTAAATGTCTTCTAATTTATTAATTTCTCAAAAATTCAGAGGCTTGAGTTCAATCCCTGGTACCACAAAAAAAGAAAAAAAAAAAATTCAGAGGCTTGGGAGGTAGCTATGGTAGAGCAGTAGAGCACTTGCTTAGTTTAGGTAAGGCCCTGAGTTTAGTCCCTGGGTCATGGTGGTGGGTGGAAGTCCCTTTTATTTTGTATTCTGGAAAAGCTTCCAAATGTGAAATTTCCTAAGTCTAGCGCTCAGGCCTCTAGCACTCCTGGGTCCACCTCTCACCATGCCCATCCATCCTAGCCTGCTTTCTCCTACTCAAATGTCATGTGCATTAGTTATCTGCTGCTGAGCAATACATTATACTGTAGTGGTTTAATTTTTTTGGTTGAATTGTTTTTTAGGGGAGGTTTATTTTTTGTTTTTGGCACCAAGGACCGAACCCAGGGCTTCCAGCTTGCTAGGCAAGCATTCTACTGCTGAACCAAGTCCCCAGTCCCCAGTAGTGATTTAAATCCATGCATATTTATGATTTTACTTTTTTTTTTTTTTTTTTTTTTTTTTTTTTTTTTTTTAGAACAGGGTATTCAGGGTCTCACTGCATAGATCAGATTCATAGTGATCCTCCTGTTTATAGCCTCCCAAGTGCTGGGATTATAGGCGCACACCACCAGGCCCAGTCCCAGTGGCCATGTCAGTGGGCCCCGGGGAAGGGGCTGGCACATTCATCCCAAACTCCCAAAGTCCTGGACCCTGTATCTGCCTAAGCAGGTGCTTTAATCCGCTGAGCTATTTGGCCAGCCCTGATTTTGCATTTCTGTAGGTCAGGAATGAGCACAGCTTAACTGGGTCCTCTGTGTCACCATCTCTATCAAGGTATCTCAGTTCAGATCCCAGGGTCTGGGATTGCATTTGCCAGTAGCAGTGAGTTCTCAGGCTCAGCTCCTTCCATGGGCCCTTCCAATATGCAGCTTGTTTTATCATAGTATACAAGCCAAGAAAGCAAAGTGTAGGGACAGGGTTAGGCCCTAGGGTGGAAAGAAGCCAGCCAAGGCCAGAGAGTGAGAGCCACAGCTGAGACAGCAGAGTTTTGGAGTAGGGAAACTGAGGCAGGGCCACCATGACTGAGGCAACCATCCCAGATTTGCAGTTCACGGAGTACATGGGTCACTGATTGTGTAAGATGGGCTCAGGCTACCACTGCACTTCCTGTGAGGCCCAGGCCTTGTCTAGACATAGTTTCCTCACCTCTGATAGTATGGAGTCCTCCAAGGAGCAAATGGACCTAAAGGTGCTGTGTCTGAATTGAAAAGACGGAGCCCCTCCCCTGCCTTGGACCTGCTTCTGTCTAGGTAGCCCTGATCTACACGGGTAAATGAGACTTGCATGCAAAAGCCTAATGCACAAGAGTCTAGGTGCCGAAGACCAGAGAAGTAAGCATTCTGTGTAGGTCACAGTCTGAGACTTCAGTTATGTGGAAGTTTGTTTCAAATTCATCAAGCTGGGACTGGAGAGATAGCTCAGCGGCATAAGCACCTGCCTGGCAAGCATAAGGTCCTAAGTTCAATCGCCTGGTACCGCCAAAACAGAGTCATCAGGGTGGACATATCTGAGTCTCCAGGACAGTGAAAGAAGTAGCAAAGATTCTTGTACATGGGGGAAGTTTGGCCAGTTAACCACCACCGTCCATTTGTCCCTCCAACCAAAAAGAAATCCTACTTCCTGGAGCAAGGAAGTCTAACCAGAGTTTTGGTGGTACAGAAGTCTTGTTTGGGGGAAAGAAGACGGAGATCAGAGCTGAGACCCGCAGAACCAACAGGGGCAACTGGCATAACAAAGGTCTAAGCAAGCCACAGGCACAAGCCTGAAGCCTGGGAGGGACAAGCAAGGAGGTACTGAAAGGCTGGGAATCTAGGGAGAGAAAAGGGGTGGGTTTCCTGAGACCTTTTTCTCCAAGCTTCACCCCCAACTAGGTCAATCCCATCGAGTGTGGTCAGGGAGAATGGAGGTAAAGCAGGAAATGAACTGAAGACCAAGAAACAGTGTAAAAGTGATAAAAATGCTTTAGAAAATGATAAATGGGCTTCTCA